TTTCATTTTTGCGCAACTAAAGCCTCTAGTAACAGAGGAATCAGATGAATACTGGCCGGACTTTTCGTTTATTACATTCTTCAACAGCGGGTGCTACAAGAGGACCGCAGTATGTTTCAGTTTTTAAATCACGCATTGTATTATATTTAGTTGTATGCTGCATCAAGCGTCACCCAACTTTCAACTAATACTTGACATCTAAACTGACTCATGCTGAATATTCAAAGTTCATGTACCAGTAGTGGCTTTAGATGGCTAATTAGCTAAGGCGCGAGCGTTTTTACCGGAAGGATCCTGTCACGAATCCCACCTCAGCGCATCGAGAGTTCCTGTCTACGCTTGAACAACATGGCTGTGTCTCAGCTCCGGTGGTACCTTCGGCTGTCGTAGCAACCAGGCACCATGATGATCCTACAGATGAGTGCTTGTCATGTTTTTTTAACATTTAGGTGGCTTACATTCAGGTGAGCATGGTCGCAACATGGTCTCTACAGCGTGATGGGCGAAACCCCACTTTGACAAATTATATCCGAGCACGCGCACAAAATCGACGAAAATTTAGAGGTATCAGGGTGTTGTCTGTCATTGTAATACGCCATCACCGAATGGTACGTGAAATGTAGAGGACAGTAAATGCTGCTGTTTAGCCACAAACCCATGGATGATGACTATTTCATGGAAAGCATCCTTTATGACAAAAAAACTCAGCTTGGATATCTTGAATTCAATAAAACGTAGAATTTGAATGCATTCACTATAATCTGGTTTACGCCTTGGCCAGTGATTCTGGAGAAAAGTGTTTCTTTTTGAAAAAAATCTAGCAAATTTGTCACAATAAGCAGTTACATCTGTCGGATTTACACTGAAAAGCTCGGTTTTCCCAAGAGTCTACCGATGAAATTTCCCGCCTTTTTGCAGAGAAAATTAATTGGTACCCAATCTTCGTTGAGGACGAGAAAACAGACAGTAAAATCTGAGAGGGCAATTCATCATAATCACAAGTTCATGACTATCTTATAGTATGTTTTGTCTTAATAG